CCGGAGCCCCGGGGCCGGGGTCGCTCCCCAGCCATGTCCAAGCTGCTGCCGGCGCAGGAGGCGGCTCGCATCTACCACACCAACTACGTGCGGAATGCTCGGGCCATGGGCGTGCTCTGGGCCCTCTTCACGCTCTGCTTCTCCATCCTGATGGTGGTGACCTTCATCCAGCCCTACTGGATCGGCGACAGCATCGACACGCCGCAGGCCGGCTACTTCGGCCTCTTCTCCTACTGCATCGGCAACGCGCTCACCGGCGAGCTCATCTGCAAGGGCAGCCCGCTGGACTTCGGCACCATCCCCTCCAGTGCCTTCAAAACTGCCATGTTCTTCGTGGGCATCTCCACCTTCCTCATCATCGGCACCATCCTCTGCTTCAGCCTCTTCTTCTTCTGCAACGCGGCCACCGTGTACAAAGTGTGCGCCTGGATGCAGCTGGCAGCGGGTGAGCGGGGCTGGGGGCCGCGGGAGCGGGGGCTGCCGGGCCCGAGCCTCGTCCCCCTCTGCCCTCCACTCTGCCGGGGATGGGGTTTGGCCGGTTCAGAGACCCCCCCAGTGTCGCCTCCGTGCCATTTGCTCCCCCTCACTGGTTACCAGTGGGGAGTTTTTAGTGAAACTCCTTCCAGGGCAGCTGAGGCACAGCAGACTCGCTGCATGTTGGGTGATGCTGCCAAAGCTTGTGGTCCCAAACCCTGTGTCCCCAAACCCTGTGCCCCCAAATCCTGTGGCCCCAAAACCTGTGCCCCCAAACCTTGTGGCTGCCAAACCTTGTGCCCCCAAACCCTGTTCCCCCAAACCCCGTGGCCCCAAACCCTGTGGCCCCAATCCTTGTGCCCCCAAACCCTGTGCCCCTCTTGCCCTGGGCAGCTTCTCGCAGCCCCTGCTCCTGCTCAGCCGCAGGGAGGCTGCAGAGGATCAGCTCCAGAGCACCAAAAACCCCCCAGGGCACAGAGAGCTCTGCTGCCTTTGGGATCCTGCAGGAACCGGGCAGGGACACGGCGGTGACACTCGCTGGCCCTTTGTGGTAACTCCCCGAGCTCAGGGAATAATGCCCCGTGGGGAGGATGGAACTCGAGCAGGGCACTGGCTGGTTTTACCACCACTCGCATTCTCTCCCTTTGCTGCTCATCCCCGCGGTCCTCAAGCCTTCCCCTCTCTCCCCGGGGACTTGAGAAGCTGGTAACCCAAGCCTGTGCTCGGCCAGGGCTCTGCTGCTCCTGAATGATTCATGTGAGCCGGGGCTGACCCCGTGGGAGGGCAGGGGGCTGCTCCTGCTCCCGCCTGAGGATCCAGCTCAAGCCAAGATTTAGATAAGGAGCTTGGGGCAGCTCAGCCTCCTGGGGAGCACGAGCAGACACAGCCTTTGCTGTGGTAGTTGGG